TAGTGGAGAATCAAATGAAAAAGACAATGGAAAATGAAATGGAAACTGGGATTATATAGGGGTTTATTTGGAGGTTCCATCCTTTGGATCCTTGAGGGGTCCGGGAAGAAACAAATTCTGTTAAGAAAACGGACAACTGGTTAATCCAAGATTACGGACCTGCACTTGCTGAAATCAAGAAGACACATGGGAATCCCGCCCTAAACCCTACATAACCCTACACCTTTTGTTTGCAGGCGGTAGAGTTCAAGAAGGATTTTCACGCAGTGTCATTGAAATACGAGGAATTCCATGATGTCCTATCCAGCTTTGAGGGAACGTTCCGCAGGTTTAATGCTTAAAGGGTTTAGGGTTTAGGACTTGAAGGGTTTAAGGTTTAGGGCTTAAAGGGTTTAGGGTTTAGGGCTTATAAAGTGTGTAGGGCTTAGGGTGCAGCGAAACCAGGTTCACTTTGCTCTTAGTGAGACATTTGCTGCACCCTAAACCCTAAACCGCGTAACTGGCAGACGGTCCAAGATCTGCAGGTGGGTTCCCAAAATTGGGGGAGTACCCTTCAAAAGGGGCTATATAGGGTGTAGGGTTTAGGGATTAGGGTTTAGGGTTTAGGGTTTAGGGATTAGGGTTTAGGGCTTCCCAAAATTAGGGGTACCATTTTGGGGGTCCCAATAGTAAGAATTATGGTATTTTGGGGTCTACATTGGGGTTCCTATATGTTGGGAATCTACCACAGCTCCTGCTCGAATTCTTAGGGTTTAGGGCTGAGGGTTGCTGTGAGATGTTCTGAATGAGAAATATCCATTTTTAGAAGCTGAGCTTCACATTACTAAAGTAAACGGCTTAGGAAATGTCAGTTTTGCAAAGCTGTGAGACTTCCTTGGCATTTCTGAGGTTGAGCACAAGTCGAAATGATTGCAGTCACCTAACAAAAGAACTGAAGCCTTCTGTTTCTTGGGCTTCTGTAGGCTGGAGGCCCGCCATCATAAAGAACAGTACAACTTAGCTTTCTGAGGCAGCTATTGCGCGGAGCATGTGAAGTTGTTGTCAGCTGGGGCAGCCACAATGTTCTCGATCGAAGGCGTGAAGGACGGGTCCTGGATCCAACAATGGCCAAACAACTGGCTAACTGTTACCACCAAGGGAAATAAGAGTTAGAATAGTACCTTAGCAAAACTCCTTTAAGGACAGTCACTGTAAGGGGGAATGACCCCCTAAACCCTCAACCCTAAATCCTAAACACTAGAACCCTAGACCCTAATCCCTAAACCCTGAACCCTGAAGCACGGGCTTGGCTAGTCCATGTCACCCAAGCGCTCTTTTCTGCAAGCGCTTCATGCGCGCCCAGACAACTCGCCAGCTGCGTCCGCAGTTTGAGGCAGGCCACCCAGAGCTTCAGGCCGTAGCATGAGGACCTCTGAGAAAGGTTTAGGGGTTTTGGGTCTAGGGTTTTGGGTTTGGAGTTTTGGGTGTTTAGGGTTTTAGGGCTTTGGATCTAGGGCTTTGGGGTTCAGGGTTTCAGGGTTCAGATTAGGGTTTTAGGGTTTAGGGTTGGGGTTTGGGGGTTTAGGGCTTAGGATCCAAGACATGGGAAGGTGGCGGCAACAGTGTTATTGCAAGCCAGGTTGCGCCGGAAGACTGGTTGGTTGGCGGTAAGGCCCTGGACACAAGATGCACAGGAAAGAAGAGAACTGCATCTACAGATTTGCCCAAAAAATATTGGGGTTCCAATTTGGGGGGTCCGCGGGATTTGGGCTCTACATAAATATATTATTTATGTACCCTAAACCCTGAACCCTAAATCCTAACTCCTAAACATTATACATATATATATATACACATTGGGGTCCCTCGCTTTCTGGAATCTGGCATTTCTGGGCTTCTGCTTCTGGAAGACCGGCGGGCCTTAAGCCGATTCTTTGCGTCGGGGCCGGTGTTGGCCCGCGCGAAACCGATTCGGGCCTGACGGGTAGGGGTTTAGGGTTTAGGGGCTTAAGGGTCCCTAGACCCTAAACCCGGGTTCGAGGTTTAGGGACCTAAGGATTTCTAAAAATTTCGGATTTAGGGTTTAGGGATGGAAGGATTTAGGGGTAAGGGATTGGGGATTTAGGGTTAAGAGTTAAGGGTTAAGGCTGCGATCAACGAAAAACGGAGTTCCCTAACTTACCTCTGGTTAGCCTGGATTGAGGAAAGGCAAAAGAAATGGCAACTACTAAATTATTGGGGGCTATATAGGGGCTGCTATTAAGATCCACTCCTTCATTCCTTGCTAGCCAGAGGTAAGCCAAGCACGGGTGTTGGTGGCCTCATCTACATTGCCGCTTCCCCGGTCGAAGACTGAGAAGTAGATCCGAAGAAACACCTGCACACAGACCGAATCATGCTTGTGCTGTTGCAGTGGAAAAGCCACCATCCCGAAACATTGCACGAATGGGAGTTTGCAACAACATGTGGGCCCGATATGAGCGTCAATAAGAATTCTACTCCGTCTTGTATGGCTCCAGAAAAGGAGCCCCTAATTTCTGGAAACCACGAGCGAAGCTTGCAAACTCTCCCGCCTCCCCCAATACCATACCCGGGCCATGCGCGCGTGGTACTTCGATCAGCATGAAGGCCGGGCTGCATTCCGGATCGTCACCTTAGGGTTTAGGGTTTCACCCACGCGTGCAAGGGCATATGGGGATATATAGGGTCGGGCTACAGGGAATTAGGGGGAGCCATGCATATAGAGATTTGATATCAGAAGCGGTAGCTGCTAAATGACTGCTAGATTTTCCATTTGATTTTCCCGCTGATTCTCCATCATTGGGTATACCCATCACCCTGAAGGCTAAGCTGTAAATAGTAGTTTCCATCCAATATAACCCCAATATAACCCCTTTAGAACCTCTTTTACAAGCTGAACGCCTATGTAGTCTTGTACACCATCCGTGGGGCTTGGTTCTTGGATGCTAGCCTCTGTTCCCTGCTTTCAACTTGCACCAGTTGGGAGTTTCCCGCGGTTAAAGTTTAGGATTTAGAGTTTAGGGTTTACGGCCCCTAGGGACTCCGCAGTATAGATGAGGATTACAGGGAAGTTTTGGGGGTCTTTATTTGGAATTGCATAGGGTCAATGTTGAGCAGCTCCCGTTTGGACACACCCTAAACCCCAAACCCTAAAACCCTGAACCCTCAAAATCCTAGACCCTAAACCCCCTAAAACCCTAAACCCCATAAAACCCTAAACCCTAAACCCACTAAAACCCTCAACCCTAAATCCTTGAATCCCTAAAGCTTAAAATCCTAAATCCTCAAATCCTAAACCCTAAATTCCCAAACCCTAAACTGCAAATCCTTAAATCCCCCAACCCTAAACCCAAAACTTTACCTAAATCCTCAACCCTAAAATCCAGGCCCTAAACCCTAAACCCTAAACCCCATAAAGCCCTAAACCCTAAACCCCCTAAACCCTAAATCCTAAACCCTAAATCCTAAACCCAAAATCCTCAACCCTAAAATCCAGGCCCTGCCTTCTTGGCTGGATAGCATGTACTGCTTGTTCGATATCACGAAGTCACCTAGGAGCCATGCACTTCATGCGAAGCCCCTAAATCCCAAAAATACTAGGGTTTAGGGATTTAGGGCTTGAGGGTTTCGGGGTTTTGGGTTTAGGGATTTAGAGTTTAGGGATTTAGGGTTTAGGTTTTTGTGTTAACGCCTCGGACTTTTACGTCTGCGCCGAGCGCAAGGGGTCTGCTGCCCTTCTCCAATATGTCTAGGGTTTAGGGTTTAGGGTTTTAGGATCAACGGTTTAGGGTTTAAGCCCCAAACCCTAACCCCGCTAGAACAATATAGTAGTTTGCATCGAATTTTCCAGTTGAGTCTCCACCATTCCTGAACGCCCAGCCCCTTAACCCTAAACCCTAGCTGCGAAACCTTATAGTGGTTTCCATTGAAACTGCCATGTTCTTTTCCATTTGATTCTCCACTGTTCCCCTTTTATTCCTTAATGCGACCCCTACATGTCCCTGTAAACGAACCCGAGGCTTCGATTTCGCATGTTCAATTTACCTTCCATTCGGTTCTCTATGATCCTTACTCCCTCCTAAACCCTAAACCCTGAACCCTGGACCCTAAACCCTAAACACCACATGAACCCTACGCCTGAATCCTAAACTGAGCTCCGTACGCCTCTGGCCTGCTGTGTTCCTCAACGTGTAGGTGATGGCCGGATGGCTCTCGTTTGTGAGACTGCACCGGGACGTCAGGACAGATCACCCTAAACTCTAAACCCTGAAACCCTATAGGGTTTAGGTTGGGTACTGCCCCCCCCAGTAGAGGTTTATATTAGGAGTCCCATTAAGGGCTATATATAACCTTTTTAGAATTATTATCCAACTGTTACTGGGTGGGGGCAGTACCCAAGGTTTAGGGTTTAGGAGTTTTGGGGTCTTTTCTGCTCCCCTGCTCTTCCGGAAACTTACACGGGAACCCAGAAGGGGCCCTCTGAAGACTACGCTGCAGTCTTCACCAACATTAAACCCTAGACCTTGTTGAAAAAAAGGGGAAAGTGGGTTCCCAAGTTAGCTTGGGGGAGAGCACTCCATCCGCCTCTCATGCTACGCACCATAAGCCCTAAACCCTAAACCCTGAAACTTAAACCCTAAACCCTAAACCCTGAACCCTCAACCCTAAACCTTAAACGCTAAACCCCAAACTCAAATAACCCCTATATAATCCCAGCTTCCATTTCATTTTCCATTTTCTTTTCCATTTGATTCTCCATTATAGGGTTTAGGATTTCATGCCTCCTGCAGGGAGCTGCCGCCAGGCGCTTCATGACCTCTTTGAAGAGCCGGCCCTGGCGCAGGTGGTCCTACTGCCTCTAAATTAGGGTTTTGGGTTTTGGGTTTTGGGTTTTGGGTTTAGGGCTTGGGGTTTAGGGTTTTGGGTTTAGGGTTTTGGGTTTTGGGTTTAGGGTTTTGGGTTTTGGGTTTAGGGATAGAACCCCAATAGTAATGATGGAGAACCAACTTAAACAGACAATGGAAAATGGCCCCCGGAAGTCTATAAGGGTTTCTCGGGATAATTACACTGGCGCAGGTGTTCCTGGAGGGTGGATCTGCCGACAACAGGGAGAACAACTTATATTGGGGTATTAGTAACGACATAATAGGGGTTATATTGGGGTTGTACAAGGGTTATATTGGGGTTATATTAAGGTTATATTCGGGTTATATTAGGTTCATATTAGCCGGGTGGGTCACTTAGCCGTTGTGCTTGCTCGGCGCTACTATCCACTTGCGATCAAGGGTGAGTGAGCCTCGTGCTTGCCTAGGGTAGGTTGGGGGCCGTATCAAGATTTCTATGGCTTCAAACGGATCACGTGAGCATGAAGAGTGATTTGAAAAAGAGCATTCAAACCTATCCCTGATAACCCGATACATATCTATATATATATATGTATGTATGTATGTATGTATGTATGTATATATACACATACATGTATAAGCCCGGCTTCCATTTCATGTTCCAGGTTCTTATCCATTTGATCCTCCACTGCCGCGGGGCATATCCCTATATGAACTATTTTCACACCTACCTCACTCCCAGCAAGACTGTTGCGATGCCTGAGCCGTGAAGAAGGTAGTGCCAGTGTCCACGATCGCCTTCCGCTCTTAATTGACACAGAACGGGCTTCAAGGAGAGGATTTGGGACTTTCTCAAGACAATCAGGAAATCATCCCCAGTCTCCTCTTAGGGTCCTCAAGGGCCCCCCCATGAACCCTAAATCAATCAGTCCTGCCTTGAACATCTGTGTCTCTTCGGTCCCCTTTTGGTGGTGCCTCTTGTGGCCTGGCGCAGTCATGCGGTTTAGGGTGTAGGTTCTACAAGATCTACTAGTATATTGCTGCTATTGTGCTGATTACCATCAGTGCTGTGAATATTGATATTGCTAAATTTCTTGTCGCCTCTGTTGCTGTTGCTATTACTGTTCCTATTCATCTTCCTGCTATGACAGGGACCGTTTATACCATAATGACCGACTTTATCAGAATTACCTTTACAATTACTAGGTCTGGGGTCTAGGGTTAATAGTAAAGCCTCAACCCTAAACCCCAAACCCGCGAATCCTAAAAACCCTCAACCTTAAATCCTAAACCCTCCACCCTTGCAAGCCCTCTGAAATTTCAAACCATAAATCCCACACCCAAAACCCCAAACCCTGGGTTTAAGGTTTAGGGCTTAGGGATTTCCGTGTATCGAGGCGCACGGAACTTTACGCTTTGCCCTGCCTAAGCCGCTCTCGTGCCCCAGGTCCGGGGCCTCGTCCTCTTAGTCAAAGTCTAGAGTTTACAGCTTAGGCTTTCGGGTTCAATGTTTAGGGTTTACGGTTTAGGGTTTAATGTTAAGGCTTTTAGGGTTAGCGTGTCAAGGTAGGAGCTATAAGGGTGCGTATTCGTGATTGTGGGAATAGTGGGGAATCATAGGGTTAGGGCTTTAGGGGTTCAGGGTTAAGGGTGTTTATATACGGCTTGGGCTACACAAAGCGACGGCAAGGACAAACAGGGCGGGTTAGGCTTGCGATCCACGCATGCAAGCTAAATTCGCTGTAACACCAGATTTGTGACCTCTCGCCCACCCCACCCCTGGATCAACATTCCCATTATGGTAGGACATTAAACCCTAAATCCTAAAACCTAAACCCCAAGTGGTACGAGCAGGCCATCCTCCTGCAGTAGATGTAGAAGCGAGTCGTCGCCAATCTTGAAGTCAACGAGCTCAATCTCAGGCTAGAGATGAAGGTTTAGGGTTGAGGTGTAGGGTTTTTTGATGGGACCTCTTCTCCACTGTCTCGCAGTCAAGAATGATTTGCAGAGGGTTAGACGTTTAGGGTTTAGGGTCTAGCATCTAGGGTTCAGGGTTTGGGGTTGAGGGTTTAGTGCTTAGGGCAACCCAGCAATCCTGGGTAGGCTTATTGCAAAACACTAGCGTTATCTAGAACAGTAGCATATCGTACCTATTGTCAGGGTAGAACACTAACATACAATCGTAGCTTGTCTTTTTGATGGGACGTAGGAAGTTATAAGTCATAACCTGGTTATGGCTTGAGTCTTGAGTGTTTTCCCACTAAGCAACAACCATGTCTGCTGACAGACTCCAAGGGCACTGCTGCCCAGTAGTACGGCTGAACCACTGGGAAATACCTGCACAATTTGGGCTCAGGGTCTAGGATTTGGGGAATTTCCGGTTCTGCCCTGGAAGCTGCAAACGGTCCCAGTCAACACTCTTTCCTTGCTACTGCACACTTGGGGGCACTCAATCTCGCCCCGGTAGAAAGATCTGTCTACCTGGGTTCTCACAATGCAGCGGAAACCCGGGAGGCAACGGCTCAAGAGGATCCTAAACCCTAAACCCTAAACAGTATTCTCTTGGCAGACCAACCCCCAGGACAATGGAGTGTAATAAGGGTATTTTGGTACTCCCAACGCGGGTTTAGGCTTTAGGGTTCATATGATAGTCATGGGGGTTGGGGTTACCAAACTCCTTGTAATAGAGTGGGGTCCAAGCAGCACTAAATCCTTGACCGTAATTGGAGGGCCAGGAGGACTCAGTCAGTATACTTATAGGCCCTATAGCCCCAATAAGGACCCCAGTATCCCCATCATTGACTTACTAGATCCCCCCGACCCCCCTAAACCCTAAACCCCTCCAAGTAAACCCCTAACCTTAAGCCCCACACACCCTAAACCCTAAACCCCCTAAACCGTATACCCCAAAGCCTCCTGGTCCTATGGAATGGCTCTGAGGCCCCCGTGACTAGGTAGGTATGTTACAAAACACTTGTGTTTCAGAGACCATGGCAGGAGGGCTTTGGGTTTAGGGTTGAGGGACTGGGGTTTAGGGTTTAGGGTTTGGGGTCTGGGATGTGAGGTTTAGGGTGTAGGGCGTAGGGTTTACTTGGAGGATCAAGGGGACTTAGTAGGCAGGTAGGTTGCGAACACTAGGGCTTAGCTGTCGCATCTATCATAATAAGTATTGAGGACTACTGCTGCAATCCCTCTAGACCTACAACAAAAAACTTCCTCTTAATGGCTATACTGGTATCCTGAAGAAATAAGAGCAAAGGACTATAGGATAGTACCTGCTGATAACTTGGGTTTTCCCTACCCACCCAGTCCTGCCCGCATGTTCCTGCTATGCCGACCCCCAGAAAGTCTCGTGTAAACCAAACCTGAAGCCTAGAGTCTAAACTTTGGGCAAGGGTTTAGAGTTTAGGGTTTAGGGGGCCCCACCTCCTCAGAATCCCATACGCGGGTTATCAAGATAGAGGGCCCGTAAGGACCTTCAGGGTGTGTGGGGACTGAAGAGAGATCACCAGGGTCCACAGTAGGGATGACAAAGGGATTATTTGGGTCATTTGACCTCAGTAACTGTCCTTAAAGGGGCTTTAGTAAGGGGCTACTAACTCCTTTTACCTACTGCAGTTTAAGTTACTGTAACGGTAAATTACTCAAGGGATTATATGACATTTTGGTTTGTTTGTGTGTTGTGCTTCTTTCATACGTCTTGCGCGCTGGTTTGGGATATGTTTTGTGGTAACCAGTGAGAAAAAAGAATGGAGAGGTGCGCAGCTGGCACGCTTTCCTTCCCTTCCCGGCTAAACCCTACATCCAAAATCCAAAATCCTGGCCCCACTCCTTAAAAACCCAAAGCGACCTAGCCCAGATGCTCAAATCCCTTTCACATCTCTCTGAGCAATTTGCTGAAATCCATGCCCTCTTATTTGAGTTTCATGCAGTACCTGAAGCCTAAACTCTGGACCCTAAATCCCAAACCCAAACCCCTAAACCCTAACAGCTGCAACCTCTATCCGTTTCTTTGGAATTCACTTTCTCAAATCTGGCCGGCTTGTACGCACAAGTTTAGCGTTTAGTTTAGGGCTCAGGGCTTAGGGTTAAGGGTTCAGGGCTTAGGGTTTAGGGTTGAAAGCGGAATGAGAAGACATGGGAGATGGGATCTGAAGCCTCAAGAAGGGACGCGAACCAATTTCGGCATGGCACAAATCCCAAGTAACAACTCAAGCTAAGAACTCAAGCTAAGACGGGATTCCAACAGATCAAGTAGGATTTGACAGCAGCTGGAGACAAGTCTGGCTAAACCCTAAACCCTAAACTTCACTTCTCTCCCATCCCTACCCGACTCTCTTTAAATTCGTATCCACCCAACGCTCCATTCCTTTCTCGGTTGTGTCAGCCACGTTTCAGAAGCTGAAGAGCATTATTACTGTCAGTATTACATCTGTTATCAGGTTTAGTATTGTGGCTATTATTGTATTTTGCTATCATTATTAAAAAGAAATTTCCAGTGCAATCACGTCACTCCGCCCCAGAAGACGGCGTTCCCTGCCGGATCATCAGGACCTTTTACGGGAAACATTCGTCGGAGCGATGAGACATATTAGGCTGCTCTGCTCATCCGTCTGACGGATCTCAGCACAGCGCTGAAGTAGAACGCGAACTCGTTGCGACCAATAGCCTGATAGAGTTCTGATCCCGGCATGTGAGGTTCTCAAATTACCTTGTTCCGCCGTCCCTGCGCCCTTCTCATGGCACCTTATTCTCGATGATGCCATCCACAAAGGGCCGAATGCCTCCCAGTTATGGGGATTATAGGGTTAAATGAATATTTGTATGGGGATAATGGAAAATGAAATGGAAACTACAAGGATCACAGAGGTTATATAGGGATAATGGAAAATAAAATGGAAACTACTGTTTAGGGTTTAGGGTTGCAATTGAGCACATCTCCCTCTTCCTTGACCCTGGCGCGCCATGCGCGGCCATCGCTGGGAAGGCGAGTCCCAGGATTCCTTCCACGGGCACCTTGCGGGGGTTCAGGGTGTAGGGTTTGGAGTTTAGGGGTTTAGGGTTTAGAGTTTTAGGGTTTAGGGTTTAGGGTTCACTTACTTCCTAGACCCCCAAAGGGATCTAAAAATTAGATCGCCCGGAACTATATGGGAAATTGTAAAAGGATTATATAAGGGTTATGATGGGTTAATTGTTAGATCCTCCCAGGGGTCTGGGATACCTTTGGTCAGCTCGGAATGAAGGAATGGAAAAGAACATGGAAACTACTATGGGTTACGTAGGGGCTACTATTGGGATCCATTCCTTAATTCCTAGCTTAGCCAAGGTAAGCTTGCCTAAAGCAGTGACATCCTTCTCAAGGCGGCCTTCAAGGGTGTCAGGGTTGTCCCCTGAGTTTTAGGATCCTGCTAAAGAGCTGTCTTCTAAACTCCTAGAATCCTATAATATAGGGGGTTTAGGGTCTAAACTCCAAGTATCCCATTTTATACCCCTTATAGTAGTCCCCTATAGAATCCCTTGTATAACCCTATTAAGGAGTTTAGAGTATGGCTCATAATATGGTCCTACTGGGGCAGGGGCCCAACCCCGGAACCCTTGATACTCAGCAGCGGTAGACTTGCGATCACCTCCTCGAAGACCCGCCCTTCCTCGGACTCGATCATGCCTTAGCGCAGGTCACCCGCAAGCCGCGGCGATATGGGGTTTAGGGTTTAGGGTTTAGGGTTTAGGGTTTAGGTGGACTTCTCGCAACCCTAAACCTTGGGTACTGCCGCCCCCAGTAACAGTCTATATTAGGGGTCCTATTAAGGGCTATATATAACCATATTATAGTTATTATCCAACCGTTCCTGAGGGGGACAGTACCCAACCTAAACCCTAAATCCTGAACTCTGAAACCCCTAACCCTTAAAGCCTAAACTCTAAAACCGAAAAGCCCTAAACCCTTTTGAACTGAGCCTCAAGCCGAAGGTTTGGTTGTAGACGGAGAATGGCCCAATGTGGAAGTCGTCCATAGCCTACTTGGGGGCTACTTGGGGGTTCAGGGATTGGGGTATTTCGGGTTTTGGGTTTAGTGCTCGGCGTCTTTCTAGGGTTTAGTGCTTTTTTGGCAGTGGGTTCACGGTGCAGGGTTTTGGAGCTTAAACCATTTTAAAGCTGAGGTATAACACCCTCAACCCTAAGGCCCTAAACCCTAAACCCTAAGGCCCTAAACTGTGCCTAGCCGCCAAACCGTAAATTCCCCGCGTTTAGGATTTAGGGTATAGGGTTTAGGGTTTGGGGTCCCGCCCAGGCCTGCTTAGGCTGTACCCGCCCCTTGCTAGGGTGCCTGAACCCAGAACTACATCCGGAAGCCACTCACACGATCGCTTGGAGCGAATTTGCAAACCTTAAAGAGTAAACCCTAAAGCCAAAACCCTACAGCCTAACCTCTACAGCCTACACCCCTAAATCGAAACTCTAAAGCCTAAACCCTATAGCCTAAACCCTTAAGCCTAGACCCTCAACCCTACAGCCTAAACCCTTAAGCCTAGACCCTCAACCCTACAGCCTAAACCCTAAAGCCTAGACCCTAAACCCTGGCAGAGTAGAGCGTGAGCTGCACCTCCGAGTGCCGGTGCATGAGCCATAGTCTAAACTCTTCGCCTCCTCCTTAATAAACCCCTATAGTAGTCCCCTATGTAATCCTCTACATAACCCAGGAGCCTCAACCCAACGACCTCGGGTTTGCTGGTAGGGTTTAGGGTTTTGCGATTTAGGGTTTAGGGCTTAGGGATCTAGGGTCTAGGCTTGAGGCTTTTAGGGAACTTCAAATGGCTTCCTATAATAAGGAAACCCCAAATTTTCCTATGTACACATATTATGGTGAGTTAAACCCTACGTACCCACATTTTGGCAACTCAAGCCCTAAACCCCACACACTCATATTGCGGGAACTACAACGCTCAGGGTTTAATTCACCATCGTATAGGTATATAGGGTTTAGGGCTTAAGTCACCATAACATAGGTATATAGGCTTCACGGTTTCAGTCACCATAATATAGGTATGTAGGGTGCAGGTTAGGTCGCCATCATACAGGTATGTAGGGTTCATGGTTTAAATCACCTTAGTATAGTTATATAGGGTGTAGGGTTTAAGTCACAATTACGGAGGCATGTATGGTTAAGGGTCTAAACCACCATAGTATAATTATATAGGGGTTTAGGGTGTAAGTCGCCATCATACAGGTATGTAGGGTTCAGGGTTTAAATCACCCTGGTATATTTACATAGGATTTAATGTCTACGTCACCTTTGCATAGGCATATAGGGTTTAGGGTTTAAATCGCCACAGTGTGGTTATGTAGGGTTTGGGGTGTGAGCTGCCATCATACAGGTATATAGGGTTCAGGGTTTAAATCAGCCTAGCATACTTATACAGCGTTTAGGGTGTAAGTCACCTTTGCATAGGCATATAGGGTTTAGGCTTAAATCACCATTGTATAGTTATGTAGGGTTTAGGGTGCCAGGTGAGGGGTAGGGGACAGACAGCCAAGCACGGTGAAACTCAAACAAGCAGGCTTCTCGGTCCATGGAAACCGAAAATCAATCATTTTCAGAAAAAGCATATGGCTTCACAAATAGGAATTTAGGGCGCCAGCCCGGAACCTGAAAAGGGGTAAAGTTGGGTGATTCCTTCGTACGCAGGGGGTGGGAAGAGTAAACCAACACAGCAATTGTGGGCTTTGTAGTTTTCATACGGAAGGGGTTATAGAGGGTACATGGGTTATAGGGTTTTTGGGGATTTCTCCCGATATAGGGCTTCCCCAATTAGGGGTACCCTTTCATGGTCGCTGTAACATAAGAAGTCTCCATTGAGGTGTCTTACGTTTATGCAACCTACCACCTTTGTTCGTCTCGCTATTTACATCCTATATGACCCTAGTTTCCATTTCGTGTTCCATGTTCTTGTCCTGGGATTTTTTGGCCCCCAAACCCTAAACACCGTGTTCAACTGGTGCGCTGCCCTCCGCGGGACCCGAATTGCGTGCCGGTGCCTCTGGGCCAGTTATTCGCCCAGTGCCAAACTCAATCTGCAAAGTCCCACCTGAATTTTGCAAGATCACCATTAGCCTGGGTTGCTGTTAAGGAAATTAATTTCGGCTACTATATTGGGGAAACCTCATTAAATACTATATACTCGCACTATGGTAACTTAATTTAAGTTTCTTAACAGCAACCCAGCTTGCAGGATCACCATTAACAGGACAACAGCACATCAACACGCCGGAGTGGCCCGGGCCAGGTGCGTAGGTCCGTGACAGCCTGACAAATTTGGTAGTTTCCCAAAATAGTGGGACCCCAATATAGACCCCTAAATACTATAGTCCTTATTATTGGGACCCCCAAAATGGTACCCCTAATTTTGGGAAACCCTAAACCCTAATCCCTAAACCCCATATATCCCCATATATCCCCATATATCCCCATATACCCCTATAGAACCCCTATATAACCCCTTTAAAGGGTCCCCTAATTTTGGGCAACCCCCATTTCTAAAGCCACCGGGTGAATATCGGAGCCTGACATCTGCAAAAAGCTATTGAAGGAACTATAGTCGAATTACTCCTTAAGAGTGGTTATATAGGGGATTATATAGGGTTTAGGGCGTGGGGTTTAGGATCTAAACGCCTTAAAGGGGGGTTATATAGGGATTTTTTGGCGACTACTTTCAGGGTTACTAAGGGGCATACTTTAGACTATGGCTCAAATCGGTCCTGAGAGCCGGACGAACGATCGTAGCGATTCCGGTCTGGGTTGGCGCATGGTCCCTTCGTGCCTCAGCAGCGAGGACTCATACCATGCAACTCTTTGAGGGTTCAGGGTTCAGGGTTTAGGGTTTATAGGGTTTAGGGTTTATAGGGTTTATGGTTTATGGGGTTTAGAGTTTAGGGTTCAGGGTTTAGGGCCCCTTGGTGCCTGAGGACTGATGCCTTGCACCTCTGGGAGACGCTTGCTACTAGCTTGAAGTAAGATGTCACAGACCTCAAAGCTTCTACAAAGAGTAGTAACAATAATGATAATAGCAGTAATAATAGTTATTATATAAGCATATGATAATAGTAATTGCAAGAAACCAGGCTGCCCTAAACCTTGAACCCTAAACTGTGGCAGGCACACAGGACTGAGGACACCCATATGTTGGTGCTGCCTCACAGGAATGAATGGATTCTTCTGGGCTCCTTGTTCAGGGCGCCCACGAGCCGGCCACGCCTGTGTCAAAGACCACCCAAACCAACGACTGGTCGCGAACCTGGGCATCTCCATCACGCAGAATTGGCAGCAACCGGCAACCGCATAAATTTTGGCATGAACACCTCAAATCCTAAACCCTGTACTAAGAAGCTGGCGTGGCAAGCGTTCTTCTGCTCCTCTGATTCGCAAGATGAAAGGGCTGGCAGTGCTGCTGAACGGGAGACGCCTCTGTCGCTTTTTCGTAGTCAGCGGGCCCAAGGTAGATGAGGGACCTTCCAACAACATGCCAACCAATTTCGAGCGAACTAAAACTACAATGAAAATTATCCTTTGGCCGGAAGCTTTACGATGTTTGCAGTCAGATCCGTTTCGGGCCTGAGCCCTCAACCCTGAACCCTCGACCCTTATCCTTAAACCCTATAGCCAAAACCCTGAACCCTGAACTCCAATCTCGCCAGGAGCACTCACTGGACGGAGTACACCCACTGGGGGATAGTACAGAGCCTGAATTCAGGGCTCAAGGTTCAGGGTTTAGGGGTTGAGGTATTTGGGTT